CTTATGTTTTGTTCATTAGACATAATTTGTTTAGTCTATGTATCAATATACTCTATATCAATTTTGGATGAAATGTATTCTTTGTCAAATATTATTTTAAGCACTGTTTGTGTCCAGACAGCATTCTAATATATATGCTCTTCCTTGGAAACAAACATATTTTTGACTATTAATGTAAGATATACATTAGATGATGAATCTTTAGAATCACTCGGAGTATATAGCTCCTCATGAACCTTTTTTGCTGCTTTCAGTTTTTCATTTGCTTCTTGGTGTAATTGTCCTCAAATGGTTTAAGTTGGTTTATTTCAAATGTACTCCACAAACTCTCCTTAACTCGTCTAATATAGTAACCTCTTTTTACACAATTAGTATCAAGTAACTAATATATATTAATAAGGTACATATATATTAGTGATAATTAAATAAATTTTACAAATGTATACTTATTTTTGGGACACTTTTTATATTCGTAGATTATATATTTGTATATAAAAAGTAGCTAATCTTCTTTTAGCTATATATACAAATTAATTAATTAGATACTATAATAAATAGGTGAATATATAATCTACGGAAATAGGATAGATTTTAAAAATAGATATGCATGTCTTAAAGATACTTACAGCAGAATATAACTTTTTATGCTATAGCTGTATAAAGATAATTCTTTGTCTTTTAATTTTTGCAATTGTTCACTAGAAAATTTATTTTCTTTTAGCTTTAATTTAAACCATTCCTTAAGTTCATTCTCAGTATTTTGTTTATGTTCATGAAATAAATCATATAAGAGTTTTTTAATTGCATCTTATAATTAGAATAGAAATAAATATATCATAAATAAACATGAATTATAAATATAAATTATATAAAATGATAATATTAATATAAAATATATACATATAAAACTCATCATTCATCTTTTTGTATGTTTTTTTCCTTTGGATTTCTCAATTTCTATAGAGTTGAACAATGTATTGGGATTTTTTTCTTTGGATTTCTTAATTTCTATAGAGTTGAACAATGTATTAGGATTTTTTAATTCTGTTAAAACCTCAGTTAATTTGCTCTTTTGTTTATTAACTGATGCTTTTAATCTATCTAAACATTTTGTTAATAAATTTAATTTTATACTATTTTTCTGCTCAACTTGCAGTAGTTTAGTTAAAGTGCGTGAATCAATGATTATTGGTGCTGCTAAATTATTATTAAAATCAATTCAATAATATATTAACAAGATAATATGCATAATTATAAATGCTTACTTTCATCTTGTTCACTTGTTAATTCAGCTACAGAACGAGGAAATATAACCACTTCAGGAGGGGAAAGTGGAGTTATTATAAATGGTTCTATATTAAAAGGTGGTCTAGCCTAATGAAGTAACATAAAGCACAAAAAAGTATAAATATAAATGTACAACCATCAGAAACAATATAAGTAAATTATTTTAAGTCACAGGTGAAATAGGTAAAGCAGATTGTTTAGAAATCAATTGTTTAGGTTGTTCTAATTCATTTTGAGATCTAAATATCAATCGTTTTGATTGTTCTGAGTCTTTTGGTCTGGAGTTTGATTCTTTGGATTGTTTGAAAGCTTTTTGAGATTATAAATTAAATGTTCTTTGACCTATGCCAGTTGAGATATCAGAAATCTTCATCTTTTTTGAAGTGCTAGTTAAACTATTAGCTGAATTGCTTGTACTGGCCTCAGTATCTGTTAATAGCATATTTAGAAATAGTTATTTAAAGTTTATATAAACAAATATTAAAATTCTTTATACCATTTTGCTCTAATGCCTAAAATAAATTAAGTTAATAAATTTGATTTGTAATAATTAATAGGAAAATTATAAATGGCAACCTGTCACCATGGTGACCCTATATGATCGGCCAATCATTTTTTAGATTGGCGATCATCTAATTCTGTAATGTTTATTTTTGTTTATTTCAGT